TGGGGCCGGGCCGGTGCGATGGGGAGCGGGGGCCCTCCCGGTGCTGCCCTCCCGGTGCGGGTCCGTGAGGGTCCCGGGAGTCGCCTCTGGCGGGGGATTCCGGCGGAAGCCGTGCCCGCAGGAGGCGTAACCCCGCATGTCGCCGGGGTGGGGGAGTTCTCCCCTTTCTCGTCCTTTTTCTTCTCCTTTTTCTTCTCCTCGGGGTGTGGAGCGGGGAGTCCCGCCAGCTGGGCGGGCTCGCTGATCGCTGGATCTGTGGAGGCTGTAACCCGAGCGGGACCTCGGCTGGCACAGGTGTCCCCATGCCCTGGTCACACCTGGGACGGGGCAGGCATGCCCAGAAGGGATCAGGTGCATGCGAAGAAGCACTTTATTGCCACTCGAGTCCATGAGAGGATTAATTAATGCGATTTTTATTGTGCATTGTCTTGTTTTGCTTTAAGATTTGTATCCTGGGCCGGGTGGTGCAGGTTCTCTTAGTCATGAGTCCGTGAATTGTACGTCTCTGTGTCAGCCGGGGAAGTGACGTTTGTGGAAACAAGATTTCTACCCACAGTGATAGCCCGTGTGGTTGCCATTTGATAACGTTCAGACGTGATTTCTGGTTTCAGCAGTAACAAAAATTAGTATACGCCCCGCATTGCGGTCATTTTCTTAAAAGGAAATAAAAATAAGTTGCATTAACTCACACTCCCGAGTCAAGTAACTTGTTGCAGTAACATGGAAAACTGTAAATTTTAAAAACGAATTTTTTGGTCCTGACTAGTAATTGTGAGTTCAATGTACCAATTTAACTGTATAGTAAGTTGCAAACTTTCTTGTTTCTATTATGCTCTGGTTTAGTGTGTGTTCAATCACCTGTCACGAGAAGAGTTGCTCGGTCTGGTGGAGGTGGACAGAAAAGCTGGTAGTGTGGGCTTTTGAAACTGTGAGGAGGAGCTGTGGCTCGTTCCCTTCAGGACAGGGTAAGCCAGGCAGGGGAAGCGCACGTTCTCAGAATGGTTGGTTGAGGTATTGCTGTGAAAAGAGCTGCCTTCTGGTACCGGACAGCAAACTTAAATCACATCTTTGTTAGGGTTGCCAATGCAGTTAAGACCTATTGTTTTTTCTTGATGGAGACTAAAATGAAATGCAGCTTCTTTGATCTGTTTTAATTGGCAGCCTGGCAAGACCCCGAAATACTTCATGACGTTTTATTCCATCTCTGAGATTGTGGGCTGTTTCTTTCGAGAATTTACATGGAACAGTATCTGCAAGGTGCACACAACTGTTGATTAGACCATGTGACAATTTATTTTCCTGAAATGCTCAGTCTCTTTTTGCAGTGCTGTGCGTATTCAGTAATATTTAACACTGGCTAATTCGATGTCTTGGTGCAGCTCTTAGGAAAGGCTCTGCTGATTTAAGTGGGGATTGGATTGGGCCTGTGTTGTTCTGGTTAATGCTGGTTAAGCTGGCAGGAGCTCATCTCGCTGCTTAGAATCACAGCTTAAAATCACTCCTTTGCCCACACCTGTCTATTTTTTTGCCCCGTCTTTCTCTCTCGTGTATTCTGTCTGTGTGCGGAGGAGGTTATCTATACAGAAGTTGAAATGACTAAATTAATTATTTTAGGATTTGAACAGTAACTGTTGGGAAATGCAGGTACTTGAAAACCGGCTCTCAGGACAAAAAAAGTGATAGAGTGAGTGTTGAAGAGCCTCTTTCCAAGATTCCATTTTAGTTAAAGAAAGATGTCTTTATCTTTTCTGTTAAATTTGGATGATGGCTTTTAAGGTAATGGAAGGATTTTAAAATAATCAGTAGAAGTAGACATTAAGCAGTGCACCCTTTGCTGGTTGCTTTAAGTGGCTCTGTTAGAGGAACTGATAAAGTAAGGAGAGGTTGTGAAAACGCAGCTAGTAGGAAGTGTAGAAATAATTGAGTCATCACAGCATCTCCTTTGTGGCTGACTAGGCCAAAGCTGAGCGAATTTGTAAGTTTTTATTTATGCACTGGGACATAGCTTACGGTGGAGGATCAAGAGCACCTAGAGGCGAGTACAGCAGGCTGAAAGTGCACGTGTGGAGATGCTGCTTGGGCCGTTGCTGGAGGACCCTTGGTAACTGTGTCACATCACTGTCACCAGTGGATTACTTTTGTCATATTTCTAATGTGCAAATATACAAAATATATTTTATAACAAGGGAAAATACAGCATAAGTAACAGTTATTGAACATCTTGTGCATGTCATTTGTGTGTGTAAATAAGGAATTGTGGATGCTTTTGATTGATGCTGAACTGCAGGCGCTCTTTTTGTCTGATGAATTTTTCCCTAAAATGGCTGTATTTCAAATGGAAACTATTTTTGTCACTAACTTTTCTGGGAATCCTATTTGCTCTGTAGACATGGTTTTTTTTTCTTTTTCAGTGACTCTGAGCAACCCTGTGGAAAAAGGTATGTGCATTCAGTTTGCTATTTGATATTCAGTCCTTGTGTAAAAAGATTCACAACTGCGCTAGTTAAAATGTCAAAAATATTTTGTGTTAACTTATTTATCTCTTTCAGTGTTTTCTTCCTGTGATTATGCACTAGTGAAGTATACAGCGTGCATTGTTAGCCATGCTGTAACTTTTGAATGTGTTGGGAAATGCCCATGTTTAGTCACAGTGGCCCACCTGTTCTTTTTTTTCCACTGAAAGCTATTTTCAATGTTTTTTTGCAGCAGACTTTCTGCGTGGTTCTGTTGACCACTACACCCTGAGTGGTAGCACAGTAACTCCCAGCTACCACCACAGATGAGTTAGAGCGAAGGTTTCTGCTTCACTGTTCCTTGGCTTGGACGCTTTCATTTTCACGTGCCAGCACAGGCTGACAGCCGTGGTTGTGAGGCCCTGAAGCCGTATCGCCAGGTCCCTGGACGAGTCGGGCAGCAGGATCACTTGATGGGACTGCTTCCACTGGTGTGTTGTTGGATGCCACAGCCATGTTCTAAGACTAAGGGGTTTGTGGCCATTTTAGGGTTCCTCCTTATTCTTGGAGGTGCTTTGGAGGCATTTGGCTAATACAGATGGCCTCTTACCTTCATTTTTCTTCCGTGGTTATGAAGGATGGAGGTAGGTGTAGTGCTTTTCAGCTGGCAAAGAACAAACGCCAGATGATTCTTTCGAGATCCTTCATGTTGCTGCATCACATGAATGCTCTTTCCACCAGAGAGCTGCCCTGGTATTTGAAACTGTTACAGAGAAGCTGTGGAAAGCGCGGCGTTAATGGTGATTCAGCCAAAGAAAGTTATTAGTTGCCTAATCTATTAGTGCATCTCCAGGTCAGCTTCCTCTAACGTGCAGCTGCTTTATCAACAAAATTAAACCTGTTGCAAGATTTATCTCCTTATGTATTAATTTAAAAACGACTGAGCTCCACCTACACGTAGTATAAAATTAAATGACGTGTTTAAATAAACCTGTCTTGTAACCATTTGCAAATGTCTCAGTGAGTCGAGTATTAAAGAAAAAACAGTCAAATGGTCAGTGTTGCCTCTGGTTTTCTCAGCAGCAGCAGGCGTGCTTCTGCCCAAAGGCTTTGACAGAGTTTACACATTAAAATAAGATTACTTGATGCATGCTGGATTTCATGTGATGATGTTGTGTCGTGGATTACAATTCTTTCTCAGTAATCACAAGACTGTTTTGCTCAATTTGAGGGATGTTTTCCTGATTTGTTTTACTTTATCAACTGCAGCAGATCTAAAAGACGTTTAATAAGAGATTTTATTTTTTCTGATGATATAAAGCTCTGCTAGAGCATGTTATTTCTCCCAACTCTTGTAAGTGGTGAAAAATGCATTGCACGGGTGGGTAGTACACTGCTGGTATGGTACTGTGATTCTAAGTGCATTTGGTAGCAGCTGAACCCCAACTTTGGAGATGCTGGAGTATCGCAGTATTAACCTTTATGCTGCTCAGCACCAGGCAGTTCTGCTTTGCCTGTGCCTAGGATATGGGGAAATTCTACTGATCCTCTGACCATAAGGTTTAGCTGTATTTTAATACTGATTGGTACTGTGAATATTTCCCCCCCCTCTTTATTTTTCTTGTCATTTTTGTGAAAGATTAGAATTATGCCCATTACGAATGAGACTTTTGCTTAAGAAGTCATTGTTCTGCTTCTGGTTTTTATTTTGGGTTTGTTTTTTGGTTTTTTTTTTAGTGGCCTATCTGACGATATTCCATATTCTTTTTGTGCTCTTTGTGTGGACATATTGGAAGTCTGTTTTTACTCGCCCGGTGCAGCCAGGCAAAAAGGTAAGAGTGTGGTTTTCCTTCATTGCAGAGTGAAAGTGGGGATGCTACAGAGAACTCAAAGATCCTTCAGTCTAGTTGATCTATTCTAGTACGTTCTTTTGTGATCTTAATTTCACTTTTGCATTTCTTACTGATGTATCACATAGTATTCTGGCTGTACAGCGCTTCCTGTCTTTATCTTCTTAACAAACGTCTTTTCACATTAGATTAATATCAGTAAAAGCAGCAGGGGGGTAAAAATGTTTCCTAACTTGGCTGTATGTGAAATACTTTCTCTGCTACCTGTGGGTAACTGCTCCTCTCGTGACTTCTGCTTCTAGTACCATATATCCTACACTGACAAAGAACGCTATGAAAATGAAGAAAGGCCGGAGGTGCAGAGACAAATTCTCGCAGAAATTGCAAGGAAGTTGCCGGTGTACACAAGAACGGGGAATGGAGGTGAGCTACCAGAGAGCTTGGTTTCTCTAAGTGTAACCGAGCGTGCTAAAGTAGCGTATGCTGGCAATCCAGATGATAGTGCCAACGAGCAGGGTGTTCCTGGTGCCAGTGCATGTGCTGAGTAACGCTTGTGTGAATAATTTTAATACCTTCTCACTCAAGTTTTATGTTTGGGAAAGCAAAAAGGTTTGAACACTTCTGTTCATCTTCAGTGGAGTGCCAGGTGCTGTCTTTAGAAGCAATATGTTACCCTTTGTATTTCAGCTCAAAAGCCTACTTGTTATGTCTTCTTTTAGTAATAGATTGACAAAATCTGTAGTCATTTGTACTTAAAATGGAGTCTGGCTTAGACGTGCAGGACATAATTCTGTGAGCAGATTTTTGGACCCTGTTCTGTGATTAAGTGTGTACTGCTCTCCTTTCAAAGCCAAAACCAAATCTGTGTTCATAGTGGAAGCTCTGACCTGTTCATTTCTGTCAGACAAGCCAAAGGGTTCTGAAGTAAGGAGCTGCTCAACAGGCAGTGATCAAAATGGAGTATGTGTAAAGTCTGAGTAAATGTGGAGGCCAGAGAGAAGTGTCCAGTTTCATGTCATTGACTTTTAAGCTGGTTGTATATTTTGTGGTCAGGATTTCTGCCCGTATCTGCAAGCCTCCAGAAGCATGATGGGCATTGCTCAGCTGACCATGACCTGGCAGCGGAAATCAGCTGCAAATGCATTCTTTTGAAGTGACACAGGAAAGAATATGAATGGTTAGGAGATTGGCAGAATATTAACTAACGTGAGAACAGAACACTGTTCTATTACTTGGTGTTAATGTGTCTCTAATTTCAGGTGTTCGATTCTGTGACAGATGCCAGCTGATAAAACCTGATCGTTGTCACCATTGCTCCATTTGTGCCATGTAAGTTCCTGGGTTGTTTTTCACTGCAGGGAATATCGTCACCACAAAGTTACATGAATGGGCTGGTCCTTCACGTGTCTTTTTTCACACCAAGGTCCCAGGTTCCTCTGTCCCAGCTGCAGGCAGCAGTGGATGTTGGTGTGTGACAGCCTTAGCATTTGCATCTCTGCTCTTTGTGGCCCTGAAGTGCTGGCAATTCCCACACCTCCAAGTGTATCAGCGTTAAGTTGCTAGAAAGCTTGCCACCTAGTGAAAATTAACTGATTAACCCAGGCAGGCTAAAATAAACTACAGTGTTCACCCTTTAAAAAAAAAAAACATTCCAGGCCTTTACATGTGGTGTTTTGCAAAAGCTTTAAGCCCTCTAGGGCAGAAATAATTTTCTTTTTATCTTGCAGAGCACCAAGGCTTGATCTTGAAAAAGTAAGGAATGTTCCATCTTAAAATGATACCTACCTTAAAAAAAATCAAATAAACGGTATCATCTTGAGTTTGTGTCATGTACAAATCTCGCAAAAACCAGACGCTCTTGCTGTTGACCTGCAGCTGGCAATTAAGTACCAAATAAAAATCTTCCGTTTTTCTTTTTGTCCTTTTGCAGATGTGTGCTAAAAATGGATCATCACTGTCCGTGGTATGTTCTACATACTGGTTTGTAATTTTCTGAAGAGAGAGGCTGTTCAGATGCATTTCTTCCACAGATTTGTGCCTGTATGCCTCTTGCGTCTCTTACGTTGGGAAATTTATGAAATAATTACACTTTGAAATTGCCTGGAATGTTTGATATTTTGAAAGACAGAACGTGTTTGTTCCATGAACTATGTGTAAAAAAAGCTGTTACATCAATAGAATTGAAACCCCAACTGCTAATTCACTCTTTCACCGTTATTCAAATTCTAAGGAGACTTCAACTTAGCCTTTAATGTTGGGTGTATAATCGTTTCCGCATGCAGTCGGTGCTTGCTTTCAGTAATAATATTTGCACGCAGCTGTTTCTGAAATGGTGCCTGCCACCTGTGCATGGTCAGACACCTTGTGTAGAATGGTGCGTGGATAAATTAAGCTTTATACTTTTTGAGAATTACTGCCACTGAATTTCTTAAACTCCTCATTTTTTTAAAAGGAAAACTTCAGAAATGAGAAGCAACACAAACATGTCCCCACCTGTATCTCCCTGGTAATCCTAAATTTTAGAGGATTTTTCAAAGCTGAGTTTTGAGTCAAACACCATTTTTTTCTGCATGAATGGAGAATTAAAACCAACTTTGGTTTTCCTGGTAATCCTAAATTTTAGAGGATTTTTCAAAGCTGAGTTTTGAGTCAAACACCATTTTTTTCTGCATTCGCTTGTTCCTTTTTAGCATTGTCTTTTCAATAGAGAATTAAAACCAAATTTGGTTTTATTTGTTTTATATATAAACAAATGAGCAGTGGTGAATCTGGCTCCTGAGTCTTGCAAATGAATAAAGTAAGACAGAAATCCCAGATCTGATAACCTTTGCAGGCAAGACACACACACGAGGAATTGCATGAGTAATCTGAGTGACAGATTTGTCCTTTTGCTTGACATAGCAAGAAGTCTTCAAGTGAAAAGCAAGAAGACTTAGTTCTGTTTCATTTTGACCACTACAGGGAGCTCTTTATTGATGAAATTGTGCTGTAAAATCAAGAGGCTTAATAAAACCAAATCAATTGTAGTGCTCAATTGTAGTGCTCATTGTGTTACAACTGTGTGCTGTGCATATCCTGACTCCGACTTTGCTTTTGTTCTCTAGGGTGAATAACTGCATTGGATTTTCTAACTACAAATTCTTTCTACTCTTCTTAGCCTATTCTTTGTTGTATTGCTTGTATATTGCTGCAACAGTCTTCAAGTATTTCATTAAGTATTGGACAGTAAGTTGTGAAATCTGGTTACTTGTCATATCCTGCGAGTCTGGTGGGGGGCAGTCGCTCCTGTTGCTTTTTGTGCTTTTGGTCAATGGAAGGTCTGCATTTCTTCTGTAGGGTATTTTCCTGTGCCCTTTTCTGAGTATAACTCCATTCTATGTCTGAAACGCACAAAGCGAGAAGCGACTTCAGGAATTTCAAACTGTAGAGTTAGCTTCTGGCAAAGAATCACTGAATCATTTAGATTGCAAAACACCTTTGAGATCATCAAGTCCAGTCATTAACCCAGCACTGCCAAGTCCACCACTAAACCATGTCTTGAAGTGCCACATCTACCTGGCTTTTAAATACCGGCAGGGTTGGTAGCTCCCCCACTTCCCTGGGCAGCCTGTTCCACTGCTTGGAGAAAAAAAAAAAGTTATCTGCTCTTCCTCATCTTGTTTTTACATGTGTGTATCTCAGAATCTTTGGCATCCAAGTACGAAATCCTGGCATTGATTTTTACATATTTACTGAATAATATCAAAAAGGCTTCTTCATTTTCTAATTCCCCTATGACTCCTTTCTAATTTTAAAATTTGACTGAAATTACATATGCTTTTTATTCAGTTATCAATAACTCATATGCAAGCAATGCCAACTGACAGCTCCAGTAAGAAACTGGCCTTATGTCTCTAGGTTTTTTTTAAGTCTCCTCTGCTGCTAACTCTGTATGACTGTGTTTAATTTAACTTTGCTGTGCATTAATTGATTACATTTCTAATGTATATAAAATGCCTCCTGGGATGTTCATGGGACACAAGCAGGAATTGTTTCTGATGCTAAGAAAGGCAGAGAGGCTTGAGCTCTGTGGCTGCATATATGGGATGAGCAAAGGCTGAGAAGTAATATTTTTGCTTTGAGGTCCCCACAGCCTAAGTGCAGATGCCCGCTTGTGAGGATCTCCGGCACTTGCCTCTTCTACTGGAGAAGGAAATAAACATTTCTTCCGAGTCTAAGACCCCGCTTGGCTTTTAAACTTTTCCAAACCATCTGTGCTCAGTTCTAATGCTGTAGCTACAGAGGTCAGGTTCTCTTGGCATGTCTTATGTTGCAAGAGGTGCAGAATTGTAATATGTGGCCATGAACCTCAGCAGGACATAAACAGGGCTTCAAGACTTTGGGCCTACTTATTTCCCCGTGGGCCCAGGGCATGTTCCTTGTGCCCAGGTGGGAGGCTGTGGTTACATACAAAAAGCTCTGTTACATACAAGAAGCTCGTGGCAAACCCCCACTCTTTCTGCTTTAGTTAGTTGTAGTTCGTTGGCTCTAGCAGTGCTTCTCTCTAGAAACAAAGAATTTCCAGCTTTTATTTGTTCTTTTGACTTGTCCTGTGTTGCTTTTCTTTCCAGGGTGAACTGACCAATGGACGTTCCAAATTTCACATCCTTTTCCTTCTCTTTGTGGCAGTCATGTTCTTCGTAAGCCTCATGTTTCTGTTTGGCTACCACTGTTGGCTCGTTAGTAGAAACAGATCTACTTTAGGTAAGACTCTTCTGTCTGTCTTCTTTAGGTAAGACAAACCAGAAGTGCTGTTAGAAGAAAAAATTAAAAAAATAAAAAGGCATTTGTGTTCTACTTCTGTGCATTTCCTCTGGAGTTTGAGGGGAGGAAGATTGGAAATCTTGGCACAATGCAGCAGAAATTTGTCACTTCAACTGAGCTGCATTTAGTAGCTGGTGTAACAAAAGCTTTGTTAGGGAAATGAAAGCCTTAAAGCGTAAAAGCCCAATTATAAAAATGTTATGCATATGTATAACTACATTTGGTGTGAAATCAGTGCAGCTTTTCAGGAATCATGGTTCTTTATGCTTCTATGCTGGAGTGCATCCTAAAACAGCTTAGTAAGGTTGAGAGAAAACAGTGTCCTTCACTGACAAAGGCAAAGAGGTTATGACTGTAAACCCGATGAAATGAAAATCTGAAACAGGATGATTTTGGATTAAGTTTCACAACAAAACACACAATATCAAGAGGTTGAGTAAATATTTAGATTTTGTATAGTTATTAACTTTAAAACTCCTATCAAGGAGCACTGAAGCTCATCTGTCCATGAACACCAGATCTCTGGCAGCAGCTTAGAAGGTAGATGGCATTTTCCAGTACACTCCAGGTTCTGCTCCCCTCTCTTTTCTTAATTTTGTCTCACCAGAACAGAGGGTCTATTTGCGCATGTTTGTTCCTAATGCTACTTCATTATATCATTAATGAATGAGGCAATTTAAATCTCCAGTGCCTCTTCTGAAATAGCCATTGAAGACCAACCTACTTAATTCTGCAGGGTTTTTTTACTTAGAAATTTCTAACCAGTGAATTTCAACAAGTCTCGCTCAAAGATCTTTTAACTCTGTTCTCCAGATTAAACAAACCATTTGCGGTTTGGTTTTACTGTTCCATATGGTTCATTTGCAAGACCAAATTCCTACCTTCAGTTCAAAAGTCTTTACAGGCTTTCAAAATGAAGACACTATTATCTCCAACTGTTGTGTCTTTGTAATGGTAGCTCATAATCTGTGAAATGATGTTTTCTTTGGATGGCTGCAACATGCACAGTCCTGTTTCACAGTATTTGGCATTGATTTTCATTTTTTTTTCTGTGTGCAGAGGCTTTCTCAGCTCCAGTGTTTCAGAATGGCCCAGATAAAAATGGATTCAATCTTGGCTTTGTCAAGAATCTTCAGCAAGTGTTTGGAGAAGAAAAAAAGCTCTGGTTCCTACCTATTGCCTCTAGGTGAGTAATAATTGAGTCAGTGCTAAAAGCTGATGTAATTAACTGAAGGGACTGACTTCAAAATGTCTGCTACGGCCTCAGCTGTGGTGCTATTATTGTGTGGCTTGGCTGACTGCTGCTGTGCATCATTATCAGTGCACCAACAAACATCATCCGAGTGAATCCTGTGCACCACAAGTCTGGAAGGGAAAGGTTTTTGAGGACTAAATGTGCTGTGTTTCTGCCCTGAAGAATCTGTGGTATAAATTGAGAAAATTCATACCTATGGTAGAAATTGCTGCTTCTACGTAAATGTTTTCCTTAGTTCCCCCATCAGTTCTAGTTCTCTCTAGGTTTTTTCTGTTGGTTTTTTTTTTCTATATCCAAATGACTTGAGCAAGTGAGGCATATTTAAGTTCTGTTAAAAATTGCTTAATTCCAGGCTATTGGTTTGAACTTTTATTCTCCAGAGAACTTGAAGGACCAAAGCAACTTGCTAGTAGAACTTGGTATCTGAGCTGCCACAAAAGATAAACGCAGTATTTTTCAAAACTTAAGAATAATTTTAAGTAAACATTGGAAATACAGGCAACAGAAAACTTGTAGAAACAGAAAACGTGTAGAAGTTGTCATCCTTAGGGTCACTTGCTGCTTTTTACAGTGTCTTTCTCTGCCTTTTTCCATGCAGCCAGGGTGATGGCCATTTCTTCCCAATGAGAGCTGTGTGTGAAGCTCAGAATCCTCTCCTGGCAAGTGAAGAGCAGTGGGAAGATGACGGCGTAGACGAAGAGCCTCATGGTAAGATAACGCTGAAGGAAATGAGTTGTGTCATGACCTGCAGTGACTAATGGATTAATTATAAGAGCTAATAAAATTTTTAAAAATGGTCTTGGCTAAGTCACTGGGCAGCTCTGACGTGACGAACACACACAGATTAAAAATAAGCCCTCCTTTGGGGTCAGCTCTTTGTTAATTTTTTTTAATAGCTTTCTACTTGCAAGTAAATGAACTGAGGGGTTGTTTCAAGTTGCAGAGAGACAATGAAATTTCCACTGAGTGCATTTATATGTAAATACTGCTGCATGCAGCACAGCTATTGGAGACATAAAGTTGTGCCTGTAAAAATGAAAATACTTAAGAGATTTTTTTAAAGTGCATTTATCCCCTCTGAGTTTGTGAAAACGTGCATGCAAACACCTGAATGCAGTGATATGTTCAGGACTTTATACTTTGTTTGTTCAGCTTTATTACAAGGGTAAAGAAGTTCGTTTGGTTTCTATGCATGCCCTGCTATGCGCTGGTCTCCATAGCACGCTTCACATACCGATGTGAAAATACACTCCAGGATTTTGTCAACAGGACTGAAGAGGCTTATTTCAGCTTTTCTTCAGATTAACTGCTTTAATTAGTTCATGGGTTTGTGTTAGAAAAGGACCTGTTCTTCCTGTTTTGTTCTATACGTTTTGGCAATAATAATGTAACACAAATTGGATCCTTTAGGAGTAAAAAATAACTCCTTCAGGAATCAGTCAGAATGTCTTCCAACTTTTACAAAGTTCTCTGAATCAATAATTAAGTATGAAAACGTTTACCAGTGAGATGACTTCTGGCCAGATCAGACCCCAGAATCTGAATCTGGAGTTTATGTGAAGTCCCACAATTTATAGTGCTTATAAAATAGATGGCACTTACAGGCAGTTGGACTCAATGATTGTTGTAGGTCCCTTCCAACTGAAATAGTCTGTTCTGTTCTACTTGTCTTTCTCAGTGGAAAATAGTTTGTAATCTTACTCCAAGAAGTAACAGAACAGAGGGCTGTTCTCTGGGACGTCCCATCTGGGTAGATGTATTAAATTTTGCATGGTGAAATGGATGTCTGTGCTAATAAATATGATAATAACTTGATAATGGAAATAGCACTGATTCTTTTTATACATCATAAGGAAACAAGAGGTCTAGACAAATGTATTTATTGTGTATGTAGCATTGAGTGGAAAGGGGGAAGTGCTTGCTTTTGGTTTTGTTTCTTTACCTTCACAGAGAAAATTTAATGAAAGTTCTGTGGCAAATTGCTATTTGACGCTGCTTGTTGCCATTCCTGCATTTGGGCCATCATGTATTACCATGAGCTCAGGATTTTCAAACTGAACAGCCAACACCAGTGTAAGATGTCTGCAGGCACCTACTCCCATCTGACAGAAGGGTTTTGGGAAACTGTGGTGTAGGCACGGATGATGTTTTACTCTTCCTGTTTTCTCACCGTTGCTTTTTCTTTTTGTAAGGCATCAGCACATGAAATGCTCTAAGCTTAGTGTTTTCAGGTTCCATCTTAAACAGTAGAAGTAAAGCAATATAATTTTCTAATTAGAGAGGCCTGAAATGTTCCATCAAACCAAAAGATCTGTTTGCCTTTCTGGCTTTAAAGCTTGTGACATAGTTTTGTAATAGCCTGTAATACAGTAATTTCAGTTTAAGAACTGCTGTTCAGTTAGCTCTGACAAGTGGTTGTCTATTTTTATTTAGAATGATTTTTAAAAACACACTCCCACACATAGTGCAAAATATATTCTCAGTGAGAAAAACAGATTTACTTACCTCTAACTGCTTCGTTTTTCATTCTACAGATACTGGTGAAGCTTCATCCCTTGCCATAGAAAGGGAGACATAGCAGTTGTAATATGCAGCAGGATAGAGCTTGTTCCGAAAGGTCAGTATTTCTTTCTTCATTACCTTCAAAACAGCTGCTCTGCAGGGAAATGGGTAGGCAAGCTTTGGGTTTAACAGTGGCACGCTCCACAGCGCGTGGGCAGAGTCCCCCAGTGCTGACAGCTGGGGAGTGCAGACCACGCTGGCTTTGGAGCAGTGCAAAGGGACAGGGATGTGCCCGCTGATGGGCAGAGACCCTCACCACAGTATCGTGTTGATGCATGGTAGTATTTCATCAATATTTCCCCATCTTGCCCAGAAATTTATTGTGTAAGAGAACTTAAAAGAAAACGGTGTTTATCCAGTAGCCCCGGGCTGGATGTTAACTGAAGAGCCAAAAGCACTGTTTGTAGGGGAGGATACAAACCTGGCAGCTCCTCTGGTAAATGTGGCAGGAATGGCTCTTGCCATTAACTTGCACAGTGACAAGACTGGAAGTTTACTCAGTTTCTCGTGAATGGTGTGGGAAGGTACAGATACAGTCGTGACAGACACAGCCATCTACTGCTCGTCAAGTCACTGCTTACAGTTGCCCATTTTTATTTAAATTGCAGCTTCCCTCCCAGGAGGCAGCATCCCTTCTCTTGGCATGGACTTCAGTTTTGAGGGGCAGAACATAAGTGGATCCTCAAGATGAGAAAAACACCATGAAATGTTGTCTGACTGGAATCTGCGTTCCAGAGCGCTTCTCCAGAAATCCTGCTACCCAGATGTTGCAAGGCTTTATCAACTTAAGTTATGGAGTGAACAGAACAGTTTTATAGAGCAGTTCTGGCCAGTGTTCTTTGGCCTGCTCTCTTTATTTTATAAATAATATATATTTTTTATTCAAAATAGGTTAAAAGTATTGATGCGAGGGCATTTCCAAAGGCCTTTTCTTTTTGCAAACATCAGGGACTTGAGTTCTTTAAATTCTTCCAAGCCATAATAATCCTGGGGATGGTATTTATTTTGAGACTGATTCTCCAGCCTTCTCTGACAAGTGGCATTTTCTACCATCAGTTCAACTCAATAAGAGACAGACCCGCTTAAATTTGGCACTAAATCGATAGCTGGATGTAAGTGTGCTGACAGAAAAAGTGCTGAACATGCATATATACATGTGCAGCTGTGTACGAAAATAAAATGTTCACATGGCCAGTATCAAGATTCAAGAATATTGTGGCCATAGGGTTTTTTAAATTTTTTTTAGGAGGGTGTAATTGTCTTAGAGTTTGAGTTATTGTGTCCTTTAAGCCCAGACCTGCTTGCAGGCACCTAAAATGCAAAAGAGAACTTGAGAGTAGTTTGCATTAATTCCTAGGGCTAAAATGCCAGAGCTTGCCTGGTAATTTGAGTTTTATCAACTCATTCCTGGATCAGTCTTTGATGGAAATTTGTGTGTCTGGAGTCAGAAAGGAAGATGTAAATTCGAAACACATGAGTTGGAAATATGCACTGAAAGTTTTACTCCAACAGCAGTGTTTGGAGTTTATGCTGCACAAAGGTGGGTTTCAGTCCCATAATGCTGAAGAGATGATTGAGGTATGGAATTTTTTCAGATTTCTTCCCAAGTAAATGCACTGCCTGGTGGTTTAAAGGTTTTTTCAGCACAAAGAGGTGACCAGATTTTTAATTTGTGTTTTTCCATTTACAGCCAGAGGAATGTATCGCTGTTTTAATTCTGTGCAATGGAAGTGGGAATCTGCTGGCAGGATTATACGCTTTTTTCTAGACCCTGAGTCTTTTTTTATCTGCATGATTCAGACCTGGCAACTCCATCGCTTATGTTTGAATGAGGTGCATGCTAAAGTATTAGTATACTGCCTTTGAGATAATTTGTTGCCATTTTCTATCCCGTTTTTGTGTTATCGGCCCATTTGTGTTGACAGTGACTATAGAAGCAGTTGCGCATGTCATGAGAAATTACCTGACGAGTATCTGTTTGGTGACAGACACCTTGCCTACATACTAAATCCTTTTTTCCTCTGTTTACTCTGCTGCTGCTACCAGGGCAGATGTGTTTGTGAGACAGAAGAGTACCTTGCAGAGATTTTTTTGTATAACAGTAGGAGTTTAACTGCCTGGTATAGACCATGCCCTGCGGACAGGTGTCTTATACGTCAGCCTCTGCAGTTGGGTGTAGAGCCGCCACCTCTGTTGAAGGTTGTGTTGCTGAAGTTGGGCTATCAGGAGTCAGGAGGGTTCTCCCAGGCTCTGTGTGTGTTTCTCTTCTCGGAGCAAACTGAACGCTTTGAATGTTCCTGCTTTGACTGCTTTACCCACGGCTGTCGCGTGGTTCTGTCACAAATGGCTGTCGAGTGCTGAAGTTATTTTTCCTATCAATCTAAACCTGTGTTTCTAATGTAAATCTTGTGGTGGACCTTCAGCTGTGCTGGATGGAAGATGGCAAGAGAATTCCTCACCTCACTGCTGGCAAAATGTGTTCTGGAGGGGGGATCCTGAGAGGAAGATGGCAGCGAAACACAACAGGCAACGTATAGGAATTTAGCACCAGCAGAGGTGCTGTTTGTGCCTTTCAGAACTCTCAATTCCTTGTATGAAAACAGGAAGATGATTTGGTGACTTTCTGTTTAATTCTGTCAACTGAGGTGTATTTGTAAGACAGGAATATCGGTGTCTCTGAAGCCGTGTGGATTTACAGGAGTTTTCTGGGCAGGTTCTTGTGTCCTTTCTGGAGTTGGTTCTGTCACAGCTGGGTCGTTCTCTCGGGGTCACTGCTCTGCCAAGCAGCAGAAGAGCTGCTGAATAGGTCTGCAGGCAGCGTCCCTGGCTGCAGCACTGCTCATCAGGTAGTAGAGAGAATCGGGGTTTGTCTTCTAATTATCATTAAAGCAGATGTTTTTGTGGTAATGCAGCTGTGCAGCTCAGATTTAGAAACAGCTTCAAAGGTTCCTGAGTAACTTAGTGACTTTTCTTGTAATTGGTTCTTGCTGAGCCACGGTGCGTCAGTGCTCGTCAGGGCAGCAGTGAATGAACAGTCGGGTCCCTGGGGGGAAACTCAGAGTTTCGCAGATTCGGCTGCTGAGATCTCTTTGCTTGGTGCATTGTTGCTGCTGATGCTGCAAACATAACTGCAGGTGGCCTGCTAAGGAGAATGCAGTGTTCCCATGTAGTATTTCTGGCCTTTAAGCAGGCCGTTAACTGAGTTCTGGGCAGCGTAAAAGCAGTGATTTCATTGCACCCCCTGCCTCCTGTGGTTGTAAAGCTGGGCTGCTATTTACTTTTTAAATTGACTTTTTATCCCCCTTAGCTTCTGAACGAAAATTGCATACGAAGAATGTGAGAAATGCAGGATGCGTAAAGTTCTGTTGACTACGCTAAGTGAATGCACTGGAAAACAGAAGTTATGGCTGCAGTCACTGCTGCAGGTAACAACAGAGATCAAGTATTCAGCCGAGTGCATGGTTGTTTTTTTAACACACAAAAAGCTCTTTAAAGGGAAAAAGTCCATTTCCACTTTCCCTGGTGCTGCCTGTAGGAGAGATCTGGAGGATGCCTTGTGGAGAAGGCCCAAAGGATTTCTCTCGTGAGGTTTACTGTCAGTCTGTACCCAGTTAGGCACTGTAAGTCCAGTTGCACCCAAATAATTCAGTAAACTCCTAAGGTCTGGATTCGAGTTCTGATGCTGATTTAAGTTGTGTGGCTGTGGTGCTCGTTCAGGTGTTGAACTGCAGCCCAGTGCAGCATGGAAGCAGCAACGGAGCTGTCCTGACCCCAGCCAGGGGCTGTTTTCTCGGGCTTAGCATGAGATCTGTGCCACAGAATAAAGCAGAAAAGAAGTGGTTTTCAGACTGTGGTATGGCAGAGAGCTCTTCCCATGGCCCCGAGGCTGCTCTGTTTGTGCTCTGTTTGGATGAGACCGTGGAGGCTGGAATGGGATCACCAGATGCTGTTTGTGATCGTACCGACAGCCACAGTGTGGTGACACACGGGGCCTTGAGTGCCAGCCAGTGCTGCAGGCGTCACAGGCTCCCAGCGGACGCCTGCAGGTGTTGAACGAAGCCACGGTTTTGTCAGCTTTGATCGGGGCAGAGGAGTGCGAGAGCTCAGCCCCAGCGCAGCGTGTTCTACCTCACCCTTGGCCTGCTCCTGGTCCTACTTCAGCATTTTACAAATGCGTTTCCTGTCCTTCCCGTGAGTCAGGACTTTCCCTGCTATGAGCGGGTGTCATTGTGTGAAATGAATGCTCTTGCTGGATTTCCCCGTGGAACCTTCCCCTCCCTCTCGTCCCTGTACTCCTAAATTAACGCTCCAAAGTAACAGCCACCCTTCACCTCTCCCCATTCTCTCCCATTTACATTCAGGAACACTGTCTTCTTAAAAAAAACAGAGAAAACATCATATTGATGTTTCTCTGGGTAGTTTTGTGGTACAGCCTTTCCTTGGCCAGTGAATCAGGACTCGTGTAAGCCTCGCTGCACTGCAATTTTGTTTTGTCTCTTGCTGAATTGGTACAATGTGGTTTTGGAGTAGAGCAAGACTATTCCTTCAAGCAGGAAGCAGTGCTGTGTCTGTAGCAGGCGGCATCTCATGCGTGTGCTAGTGTGGACTGAAAGCACAACTTAGCATTAGGTACCAAACCTGATGCATAAGGTCTGTAATATAATATGAATGTAAAATGTCAGGGCAGCAAAAACCAGAATTTAGCGTTTATTCCCCAAAGTTAACTGTAAGGAGCCATGTGCTGAGATGTATTCAGGGACACGCTGCCTCCTGCGCAGCAGAGATTGGCACGGCTGGCTGGCACAGGGCGCGGGATCAGCAGGCACCGGAGCCACCGCTGGCCTGGTCTGTTCAGCCAGATTTAATTCACTCAAAGGGTTGCATTTCCATTTCAGGGACTCCTGTAGTACAAATTTTTGAAATTGAGCCATAGTACTTGAAAATACCTTGATTTTCTTGCTGTTTTTCCAGTTCTGTCAGCTTCCGTATTGTTACAGTACACTTGCAAAAAATAAA